CCGCGCCCCCTTCTCCGGACTGCCGCACTGACCCTAAACGCAAAGCGCTGGGGTCCCGCACGGAGCAGCCTGGCCACCGTAATCCCTGGACAACCCGCGAACCAGTTCCACCCCCGGGGCGAAGGAAAGCTCGCCTGGCCTCCGGTGTGAACGACCAACCGGACAACCGGGGCGGCCTACCGGCCCGCAGCCGCGGAAAGAAAAGGACACGGGCCACGAAAGACGCCGCAGCCCGGCCGCGAAAGCGGGAACCCACCAGCTGGTCGTGACAGAGGAGACACCTCAGCCAGCAGCGGAAGAGGAAGCGCCGTCTGGTTCGGCCGCCGGCGGAAGTGACGGAGGAGGGGAGAGAAGCGGCGCTCGCCGCCGGCCCAGGCGCCGGGGGAGTGGCCGGGTAGGCCGCGCCCCCTCGCGCGATAGGGAGGCGGAAGGGCAAAGGCGGGGCGTCCGTGCTTGCGTCATGCCCTCCATTCAGGAGGATCGCAGCCGGCTGGGGCGCCTGTGCCTAGTAGACCCGGCCGCGTGAGGGCGCCAGGTTGGAGGAGGCTGGTCACGGCTTGCGCGAGCTGTTGAATTGAATTCCCGCTGCACCGTCCGCTCTCCTCTGCAAGCCACGATGGCGGGGGTCACGCACCCCGCTCGGCCCCCCAACCAGCCAAACCACCTTGGGGTCTAAGGCAGTGTTTCTCAACCTCAGCAACGTTGAGATGGGGGGACTTCAACTCCCAGAATTCTGCAGCCGGAATGCTGGCTGGGGAATTCTGGGAGTTGGGAGTCCCCCATCTTAAAGCATGCTGGCTGGGGAATTCTGGGAGTTGGAGTCCACTCATCTTAATATTGCTGAGGTTGAGAAACACTGCCTTAAGGGGAGGATCATCCAGTATGGACCCATCTGAGTCTTGGGGCACCTTAAAAATGCTGCCAACTTACATCACCCTTAAACTCAGTCGTGCTGAGACATCATCACCCCTTCTTTCCAGGGCTAATCTTCCCCTCCCTTCCCCTTAACAGATGTTAGACCTTCCAGCAACCCAAGAGGTGTTATTTTACTGTAGCATCTAGAGAGACCCTGCAATGCTTACATTTTCCCCCTGCCTCACCCATACCCTGGAAGAACAGGTAAGTTTTTTCTCAGACTTCAAATCCTTTGTAACCCAGAGGGTAACCTGCAAAAAACTGATCTCTCCAAGGACCACAAAAGTGTGTACAACAAAGGTGGGCTACCTCTATTCTCCCACCATTATGACTCAGTTAATTTGTTGACCATCTGGATGTCATCTGATCTTTTATTTTACTAGTATTTAATAAAGGCGATGGGTGCATTGTTAGAAGACCTGAAAGACCAAGTTGAGGACAGATCGTCAAGGAGAAAATCTACGGAGTTGCTAAGAGTCAACACCAACTTGACGGCCCATAATAAGGTACGATGCTGATGTTACGCTCAATATTGGCTGCCTTCATGTAAACACCCATGACCTGATGAGTGAATTAATCCATCTCCCAGGTTTGTGCAATATATTGAACCATAAAACCTTCTAACGTGCTTCCCTTCTTGGCATCCACAGTGACAACAGCTGATTTGTTTAAAAAGCAATTACTGCAGTGATATATTTTTTCAGCAAGGTATATTTATTTCTCTGCCATGCCTAAAGTGAGAGGTTGATGTATGTTTTCAGGTATTTAAACCCCCCTCCTACAAGTCAATCCAGGGATTTCACAATTTCACAGCCACTGGCTTAAACAAATAAATAAAACCAGGAGTTTGAGTTGTGAAATCAGAAGGTTTGGGAAAGTCATTCTTGTCCATTGAGGACAAAATATCAGCACAAAGCCATCAGTACTACAATGTTCAGTTGAAATAACTTGTTTCTGACATATCACATTTAAAAAAAACAATGAGAAAGAATAGATGGAGAGGTCAAACAAGCAAGGAACTATCTGAAATTCAATTTTAATCGTTTAGTTTTGTTTTAGATCTGCGTTTTCAAATCAATTATTACACCGGAAATCTAAACAGCCACTGCTGTTAATTGCAATACCGAATTCTACCTGTGGAATTCGAAGGCGTTAGCCAAGGCTGCTAAGTTTCTTTTAATAAAATTTGTTAGTCAGAAAAGGTGCTATTAGACTCCTTCTGATTTTTACCACCGTAGACTAACATGGCTCTCCTCCTACAGTGTCTGAAGATATACTATCTTAAGGGGGGAAAAGCATGAAGTAACAATAAAAACTGAGAACAGGGGAGGAAAAAAGAAAGAGAGAGAGAGAGAGAGAGAGAGAGAGAGAGAGAGAAAAGAAAGAAAGAGAAAGAAAGAAAAGAAAAGAAAAGAAAAGAAAAGAAAAAAGATTTCCTCTTTAGTAGCACAGTTCTAAAGCTTATGTGGCAATTGAGATACAGACTGATATTATTTGAATTGAAATGCACTGACCACCTAACCCTAGAGGCTCAAACACACAGCATTAAGCAAATATGTTTATTGTATATTGGTTATACATATAATTTGAGTGGGGCTCGATACAAAACCCATGTACACAACCAATGAATGTATTCACATTCTAAGTGAACGTAACCGACATGAAAATCTTCAATACACCAATAGCAAAACCCCAGATATGTCACATTCTTGTCACGCAACATAAAAGCAGGTATGTGGGTTTGTTCTTACAGTATTTTGTTTCCTTGAATGCTGTGTCAGGTCTCTAGAGAATCACAGTGTTAGCCTGAAAAATCTGATGTGGTGGCATAGGCTTCTTAACGGCAGCAAAAGGGAAGGAAGCAACAGATGCTTTGAGTCTCCAGAGGTTGCTCCTTGTCGCGCTCCAAGAGCTCTCGTGGAACCCTTAGAAAAATACATCTGCACAACCACAGCGTGAACGATCGACATCAGCCAACCAACGGGAAGAAAAATCTGACCGGAGGAAAGCGAAAGGAAAGGTTTGTGAATGAATATATGGCTTACATAATTCCAACACGTTAAAGAGACACACACGTGTACGAGGGTTACAGGAGACAGGCTTCCACGTCAACTGGGTTCTATGGTGCGGTCGCAATTCATTCTTGGCAAGTGGGGTGGGGTGGGGTGGGGGAGCCATTTACAAGGACGTGAACCAGAATGCCCCCCTCCCCGCCTCAAAAATCCTCAGCGTCCGGGGAAAAAAGAGCGTCAGATCAGGAATGTTCAAGAAATCTCAAGTTATCACATGGATAGGTTGGCACCGAGATGTGAACAGGTATCAAAGATAACAGTGGCTTTGTGAACAGAAGCTACACACAGCGTCACCACATGCACTATGAACTAGCGGCTAGCAGCACTTATAACAAGTTAGGCAAATGTAAAACACTTGTGCTTCCACCTCTTAGCAGAGAGACTAAGAAACAGCTGTATGTGCCCTACCACTGGTGCCACACTTCAATAACATGTCAGTCACAGACAAGCATTTGCTACAGAGATTATTTTTTTTTACCACTAGGAAGGCGGAAGGTCGATTACAACTTCCAAATAAATGGTGCATTTTTAGAAACAAAACCAGACGTGTTATTAAACAAACAAACAAACAAACAAAGTTTGTTTTCTTTTTTAAAGAGAAAAAGAAAAGAAAAATGTTGCCGTTCTAAGCGCAAGGCCATAGAGCGCCCTGGCCGGTTTCAAATCCTTACACGCATGCTAGGATTTTAGTTTCTGCAAGTTTGCTCGAATTTTAGTGCAAATCCTATTGAAACAAACATTAGAGCATCTGAAAAATATGCTTTCTGTGTTCATCTTTTTTTCCCCCCCTCAAAGCTGTTAGCACTGGGTTGGGTCCATATTTAGTCATCCACAAACTAAAGGATGAAATCAAAGGAACATCGTACTAACTTAAGATTTCAGTTCGTCTATTTCAAGTCTAGGTCTGACTCCACTCATTGTATTATTCAGCTAAAGTTGGCCAATGGAAACAATAGGTTATTGTTTTTTTAAGTGTGCGGCAGGGTTCAGTGCTAAATTTGTGTAAACTTCTTTGCTGCATTATTTAAACATTCCCACGCGAGCATCGCAACGGCTGAGACCATACCACATTTTTAAAAATACAGTGAAATCCAAGCATGTGCCCATCAAGAGGATTACAAGGCCCATAGAAACAAAGAAAGTACACAGAACCATGCAAAAGAGCTACCAAAGGGCAGGCTTAAAAAAAGACCCACATCTTGATCATCAAGAATTGACCATGAGGCCTTACTTGCTATTAGAATTCTAAACCACCAATAAAAGTCAAGCTGAAAATGGCATGAAACGTCAAGAATTGTTCATGAAGCATTTGCTTGCGCCTTTGAGGAGGGAGGGA